TTTATTTCCATATTTAGCAGAGTGGTGTTTTGGAATAACTAAGTTTCAGCTACTGATGGAGGGAAGAGGATAGTGACAATTTGAACTTGTAAAGAAATTGTTGAATGATAGGGGAAGGTTTTTGTAATGATAATTCCAGACAAATTGGCAGTTGAGGAATACCACAAGGTCGCTTATTTTTAATATTTTGGAGATTAGGTATAGTACATTAGATTTAGCATTATTATACTGAAAATATATTATTTTCAAGGCTTTATTTTAGAGATGGGACAATCATATATAATGATTTGTATATCTTGACATGCATATCTTAGATGGGACCCAAAAATTGACATGCATATCCTAGATGGGACATGAAATGGTTACTTGACATGCATATCTTAGATGCCCAAAAATAGCATGATATATATTTAGCAGAGTTTCTAGATTTACATAATGGCGGACTTTGGCTAACATTCCAAAGTCCACCATTATGTAAATATAGAAACTCTGCTAAATATATATCATGAACCAAACAATGTTGCATTTATGGTTTTTAGTGTGAGGTAAATTTAAATTATGGTGGTATAAAAGTTGGTAATCAATGCTGGACTTTAACAGTCTGTCGTTTTACATAGGAATAGATCATTAAAATTTCTTTAGTCAATGAATATGCAGAGAATCTTAACTCAATTGAATGCGGAAGCTATTTGAAATTTAAAATATTGGGTGAAGGCTGTAGGGGTGGGGTGACAGGCTCAGTTGGGTAGTAAATGAAATCGTACTATTCCTGACTACACATATAACATTTGTTTCAACAACAGGGCCACATTTCTTTAGATGTTTTGAGAACATTTTAAAAATGTGTAAAAGAAACTCAACTTGACTGAAGGGAGACTACAAAAAAAAAAACTCCACTAAAATAAGGAAAATAATTTTTAACAAAAAAAATCTTTACTAAAACAAAATAAATTACGTTTAGAATTGATAATTTCTAAACTTTGCTTTTTTATAAAATTAAGCGATACTCTTATATAAAGTAACAACTTTATTAATAATAATAATAAATAAAACTATTATTAATAAATAAACTATTAATAAGGAAACAAACATTTTTCAATTTATCAAAAAGTACAGTACATTTTCTTTTATTTGTGTACTTATGTTTTATTTCAACAAGGTTCTAATAAAATTTGGATCATACACAGGATCTTACATAAAATACATTAAATACAAACTTTACCCCCTTATAAAAAAATCAAGGGTCTGATTTTTTGTTTTAAAAAAAACAAAAAAGTATCCCAAGCAGGATAAGACATTTTTTATTCAATTTATTTTAATAATTTTTTTACAGGAGAACTAATTTCTTTTCCTTTTCCCATTTTGAATTTTGTTTTGATTATGATTAACTCCCAAGAAGGCTGCAGGTCAGGTTATCCTGCTACTGGTAACATAACCCACTACAATCTGCATTAGAGTGTCCCAAAAAAAAAAAAAAAAAAAGCTCTCTACTGATTCCCATTCTATGTGACCTAAATAAGTACTAAAAAATATTTGACGGTTTTATTTTGACAGGAAGTGCTAGATGTAAAATCTGAGTTTTATTGTTTTAATGTTAAGCTGGCTTAACATTAGTAGAAAACACAATTTTTTATGTTTTAGAAAATTAAAACAAAACAATTAAATGCCTATATATCATTTCCAATTGTTTTCTACTATTTAACTTGATAGATTATATTTATAAATATGAAAATACAAAAAAAAAAAAAAAAAAAAATACATGAAAATTAATATTTATTAGCAAATTTAAGATTTTATTGGGGTGAAACATTTCTCAAAAAATACAACTTTGTTAGTCATACTATTTTTTTCTAGACTTTTTCACTACAAAAAGTACATTTTGAAGGTGATCTTCATTTCTAGTAACTGAAATAAAATCTTTAATGAGCTTAATGTTTCTTTCTGCACCATCATTTACAACAGATATGTTTTTGATCCATGCAATAAAATCTAGCAACTGAGGATGGTTAAAAACAACTATAGTATTAAGACTATTATTAGGCCGTTCTTTTATACTAGTTCTTGATATTTTAAAATGTTTGAAGAGAAGGTAGCTTTGCTCGGAAATCAACTCAGGTAGCTCTGTGGTCTCTCCAATTTGTACATTTGATGGTTTACAACGCTGAAATTCATTTGGCTCTTCAAACTCAATCAGAGCTAACAGCATTCTTAGCTTTGTTTCAGAAGGAACTTCATTATCCCCAAAAGACAAAACACAGAGTTGTGTACCACATATGGCGTCCTATGCTGAGAAGCAAAGCGATTCCAATATTTTTATAGACTTTTCTCAATGCATAGGCTGTCTGGATAGCTTTTAAATCATTGTAAGGAGCCAGAAATCCTAAAAATTTTTTAAAAACCATGGAACATAGCAAATTGCAATGAACAAACTTGCATCCTTCAATTGCAACACTTCTTTTTCTGTCAAGATATTACTGATATCTTTGGTCATATAAAAAGTCAGGATGTAGAGTGCATCTGCTGAAAACCTTGCCTCATGGCAGGTGCTAGGTTGATGGAACTTAAAATCTTGTACTTCCGCTCCAAGGAAGAAGGAGGCAAGCCTACAAACTATACCATAATCATTCCTTGAAAACACCATATCAGTAGTTGCATTAGTCAAAAAAATTTTAATTTTTCTTCGCAACAGTTCGAAGATTAGAGCCAATCTTCATTGACTCCGCCTGTATTGCTTGCAGTTGTATCACAGCATATACCAATGATCTGCTCTTTACATCTGTAATCTAAAAGATTTTGCACTTGTTCTGCTTGGTCAACTCCCTTTGAAGAGGGACATTAAACAACACCTAAAAGATGGTCTTCCATGATATCGTCATCTGGGGAACTCACTGAGACTGCAAGTTTTTTTTAGTTTTTTTTTATTTTACTTCACCTCCTCAAGGCCGAGAAGGCCACTACAGACGAGGAGGCTACTTATTTTGTGGCTATAACCCTTTCTCAACTCTATAACTCCGAAACACGAACCTTGACGAACAAGGCCGCTGCGCAGAGAAACGAGTTGAGCGCGGTACTACCAGGGACGTGGTGGGGATCGAACTTGGAACCACTCGTTTATGAAGCGAGCGCTCTACCACTACACCACTACCGCATATAGTTGCTCAATTTTTTCAATAATGTTAAGCCCAGTGGTAATTTTTCCAACAGTTTGGTATCAAAATGAAAAATTAGTCGTCGGCCTTTAAGATAATTAGTTATTGAAATCCACTTCAAGTCTCCTTCAAGTTCTACATATTTGAACTTTTTTCTATGAAGTGTGCTTCGTGAAAGCGGTATATCATTAATTTCTAGACCTCCAGCTTTAAATACTTCACTTAAAATTGCCAGATGAGGTCGTACACCAACATTGAACCTTGTTGCTGGAATAGCAGTGCATTCAATGAGCTTTACAACATTCACTGCTAGATTTATCCTCTCTCCAGAAATGTACCTAGATATCATTTTATATTACTTTTCTACCTATTTACAATTATATACTTTTTAATAAAACAGTTTTAGCTTGTGAAAATTACAACTATGTTATTAAAATAATACTATACCTACGTTTCCGACCGTTTCCCAGGAAATCTTCTTCCTCGCTGTTTTCAGAGTCCTCGTTTGGCTTTTTTTCTTCACTGTTGAATTGAATCTCTTCTGTCATGGAGTCATGTGACAACAAAACATAATTGATATCTTTTACGTTTTTCTGTCTCTCTAATTCTTTCTCTCTCAACTTATCTAGCTTGTTCTTAGAAATAGTTAATTCTTAAAAAATAAAAATAAAAAATAGTTAAGACATTTTAAGACATAAATAAACTAATAATTGTTCTAGTTTTTCCTGGAAGATGGCTAAATTATGGAAGGAGTTAAACGTAAATATTTAAAAAAAAATGATATGCTATTACTTAAGTTACCTTAATTCGGAAAAAAAAATCTCACTACTAAAAAAGTGTTATTTAATGAACTTACTTTATATCTTCCAGCTTGGCATCATCTGTTTTCAATATATCAGCAAGAATATCTTAACTATGACTTCTTAGTAAAGATGTCAAAAAGCTGATAGGATTCTGTGAGAAAATCTTTCTCTAACTTTGATTGCTTATCAAGGCTGTTGTTCCAGTTTAGAGAAGACAATTTAATCAATTTCTTGTATTTTAGATTAAGTTTAATGATTTTGGTCTTTATATTGTACCCAAAAATCACAAATTTCTTGCCAAACCCAGCATTATCCAAAATTTTTAAAATCCTAGTCACCAAGCAAGAATTATCAGGATCTGTACAAACACCGATTTCGATTTCAATTTGCAACCAACATTAGTAGAAGTGGGTTTGTATTTTACTTGTGACTCGCGAAGAATAAATTGATAGTATCTTAGAATATCACCATTAGATGGAAGCTGTCTCTGAGGTAAATCCCTCAGTGGGTACTTCAATAGGTAAATAACCCTCAACCTTTCTGTATTTTTTCTTATTCTGTCCTATCATCTTCTTTTTTTTAGTTGTTCTACCCATTTTTATATGAATTTCGAAATAATCAGTTTTTTAACTAAATTTATACTAAATTTTACACTTGCATTAAAAATCTATGAAGTCGTTATTCCCTCTCGTATCATATTTTATCTAAGTTTGCCGTTAAGGCTTTTATAACCGTTTACACAAGAATTTCTTTGTGCACAAATTTGAATTCCTTCAAACAAAATTTCTAAATGGAGTTATTTGTGAACCAATGCATGAGGAATTATACCAACTAATAATATTGTCCAGAGGGAATTATATCAATCGCTAACATTGTTCATAGAGAATGATCTTATTCTTTAATAATGTCCTATGGGAATTATTTGTGTACCAATTATTACATCATATTAAAACCTATTGAAATGCTAGATAGCGCTGTTTTTATGTAAAAATGGTATTGTTCACATGTGTACAATACCGTAAAACTCAGAATTTACATCTATCACTTCTAGTCATTAAAAAAATAAAAATAAAGATTTTGGTAACTAATTAGGACCTATAGAATGGGGATCAGTGAAGAGCACATTAAAATTTTAAAAAAAGTATGTTTTTGGGACACCCTAATCTGCATGGACACTCAATTTTATGATTTGAAGGCTGGATGGTAGTCAGGTTTCCCGATTTCTGTGATAGCTCTCAGAGAGGCTGATTCCAACAACAGCTGTAAAGTATCAGAGTATTAACAGTACCAAGTTGCGAATGGATGGTGTCTCTGTTTGTACTTTTGGTGTGCATTGTCAAGACCACATTTGGAGCACTTTGTTACAGCTTAGGATTTATTAATAATAATAATGCTTATCTCTTGCAAAGTTCACTAAACCTACTTGTTCTTTGTGAAACTAATTTGAGTTCAGCTGTCTAAAATCTTCAAATGATGTCCTTTTTCTTTCAGACAATGTTCAAAAATGAATTGCAAACATAGTTGGAGCTGCTCTTGCAGCCAACTCCAACCATTATCACATCATTGTAATGTTGCTTCTCTTTCTTTTTTTTATAAATACTATAACAGGCACTTCTCTAAAGAGCTAGCGTCTCTTGTGCCATCTACTAAAATTCATTCTTGTGTTACTCAAAGTTCAAGTATTTGAACTCATTTTACTGTTACTGTTCCTAAGTGCACCAAAAATTCATATTTGTCTAATTTTTTCCTTGAACATCAGTTTTTTAAAATTTGTTTACTTCATCTTGTTTTCCTGATTCATATAATTTGTAATTGTTAAAGTCGTCTGACAATCATTATCTTGCTCTATAAATTTCATCTTTTCTCTTTCAGTAACTTACAACTTTAATAGATTAATAAATCTTTTATTATTAAAAGTACGCAACCATGATAGTATTCGTAGAAAAGAGAAAGAGACACAACCTAACCACAATGGGAGAGAGGCTTAAGCTTAACAGATAGAGCAGTTCCAACTATATTTACAATGTTTTTTTTGACCTTGTCTATAAGAGCATCATTAGAAGAACCAGCCAAAGTATGAAAACTGTATTCCATTCAGGGATGAATAAGAGATTTGTAGAAGTATAGAATGGTATCAGGAATAAGAAAATGTGGAACACGATAAAGAGAAGCAACCTTAACAGATGCTAGCTTAGCAATCAATTGTATATATGGTTTCCATGAGAGGTCAGCAGTAAATAATAATCTAAAGAAGAGGACTCATTGAGCGGGTTGCCATTCATCAATAGAGGTAGACCATATTGCAAAAGTTGTTTGCAGTTAATTAATTTTTGGGACTTGCTTTTTTCTTACATACATATAAAATCAAAAAGTGTCAGCAAAGTTCAAAATGGTCCCCAAGTAACCCAAAAGTAAAAATTTGCTTTATTTGGCACATAATTATTTATACATATGCTTTTATCACGAAATTGATTGTAACTGTCTGCTTTTTTGTGACCTTTTCAACTGTTATGTTGCAAATATTCAGAATGTACTGCAAGATGAGTTTTTAAATCCCTCTACTATTTACAGTTTCAATAACTAGACCACCATATGATATAGATACTGCTGTGTTTTATTTTTTTTTTCTGTATTGCTGCATTTTAGAAATCTCAAAAATAGTTGCAGCATATTACTTGTTGATCTAAAAGTTAGTTTGTAATTAACGTTAAAATGTCAAAATAAACAAGCATAAAAATGTTCATTTAAATATAGATATTTTTATTGAGTTTTAGCAATATATAGTTTTTTTTATTGCAGCTATTTTTTGAAAAAAATCAAAAAAAAAATTTATCGATTATAGAAACTTATATTTAAGGTAAAACGATCAATAAAAATACTAAAAAAATTCAAAACAAAACTAAGTGTTTTTAATGCAAAGTTCAAAGTTATTACGGTTAGATCAATTTTTTTAATATGTATTTTTAAAGAGAAATTTCTGTGCTTTCAAAAAGTATAGTCAAATTTATCTTATCAGCACCCTTAGCAACTATAATTTTAACATTGTAATAGAACATTATTGTCCAAAATTCAAATTCTAAAAATAATTTGCATCAAACTAAAAACCTATTATTTAAACAAACCTTAATATAAAAAAATAAAAAAAATTTGTGTAGTTTAACATTAAAAAAATGTTAAACCAATCTGTAAAGTTTGCAAGCTGAATTTAATAGTTTTTGGTTTTTATCTTTGAGAAATGACATCTTGAGTTATCTTTTTTAGAACATGTTGAAATTTTATCAAGTTATTTTAAGCGTCAAAAGATTGATTTGAGTAAAGCATTTAAATTTTCCTTGATCCTAGGTCCTGATAATCATGAAAAATCCTAGTCCTGATAATCATGGAGAATCCTAGGTCTGATAATCATGAAAAAACATTTTTTCTGTGTTACTATAGCAACTGTTATCATAAACTCTCTTGTTCCAATCAATCTTTTTTGTGTGGTTGTCATTTTAGTTCAAATATATTTTTAAATATATTAGATTTTTTATTGAAGTAACCTTTTTTGAATTCTTTTTATTAATTTAGTTTCCATGGTAACAGTACTCAATGCAGTAAATAATTTTTATAATTTAAAAACTCAACATAGAGTTTTATATTCTTAATATATAATTTTAATTCTAATTAAAGGATTAAATGATTTAGCATTAATTTTTGCAAAAATTTAGCTTTTTTTAAATTTTGGTTAACATCCACCTTAATTTCAAGTGAAAAGAATTAAGCTGGAAATACATTTAAAAACTAATAAAGTAGTTTTTTCTATTTTGTTATTGACTTTTAATTTAGGCAATGGTGTCAAATATTGAAAAAGTCATTGATTTGAATAGTTTTAAATTTGATTTCTTTGAAAAGGTATATTATAAATATGTTTATGTTATTTTATATATATATATATATATATATATATATATATATATATATATATATATATATATATAGGGCGCGACAAATCGAAAAAAGACAGAAAAATGTTTCCTTATATTTACTTAAGCAAATTGTTTGCTTAAAGTTTTTAAAAACGAACGCATAACTTCAGCAATTTTTTTTTTCCAAAAAATTATGCAATAGTTTTTTATTTATTATAAAAAAACATAATATAAAAAACAATTAGTTACTAAAATTTAAAATGCATTTTCAATGACATTTAAAGAAACCATGCTAATTCTTTTTTTAATTTTACTATTACATTTAATAATTTAATTAAAAGACTGAAGAAAGTAGTTAAATTAAAGTAATATTCATAAATTAAATGTTTGTTCTTTTTAAAGTTTTGAAATTTTTTTTTAAGATTTGCAGAAATATATATAGTTTAATAGAATATGTTGAACTATTATGTTTATTATAGTTTTCATTTTTTACTGTGCGATTAACAACACCTATAACATGATATTTTTTTATTAAATACTTAATATTATAAATATAATATCATATTAGGTATTTAATAAAAACTTAATACAATAACTTAATATCATAATAACTTATTAAATACTTAATATTATATTATTATTTTTAAATTTTTTAAAAAAGTAATGTCAAAACAACTTTTATTTTATTTCTAGTTCCCTTTTATTTAAATTCCTTCAAGTTTGTACCTTTTTTTAAAAAGTAAACAAATTTAACAAACTAAATTGAAAAAAATTCATTATTTTGAATTAATGGATAACAGTTTACAGTCATAAGGTTATTAGTCATATTAGTTGTTATCATATTATTAAAAAATAAAGATTTGTCGCGCTTTAATATATATATATATATATATATATATATATATATATATATATATATATATATATATATATATATATATATATATATATTAAATTTATTTAAATAAAAAAATTTTTTACACATTTTCTCTTTACTAAAAATTTCATCAAATATCATCAATGGTTTTAAATTTTTAGTTTTTTTTTTTTCTAGTTCTATAAAATGCTTTTTTTATCATATAATTAGGGACATGGATTGATTACAGTGCATTTGTACTTAAAAAATCTGAGTTACTGCCATGTGCAGTTTGAAACAAACCAATTTACTGTTTTCTTTTGTACAAGGTAATTACATTATTAGTTCTTTTAAAATTGTAAATAATTATTATTTTAATTATTAGAAAGTTTATTTGTCAAATTTGTTTTGTTTTGAAAAAATATATTTTTTTGTCAAAATAAGCATTCTATTGTTTGCAAGCAAAAAGGAGCTTTATGATGAACATTTAAATATTTTGAGCAATAGTGAAAGTTACATTTATAAAATTATGAAATTAGTAAAAGTTATATGATAACCATTACATACATGAAACTAATACATCGTTTTTTAATACAACAAACATGTTGTAAAGATATTTTTAGTTTGTTTGTAAACTAAAAGCAAACATAAAGTTGCTTAAAATGTTGCTGTATATGTATGTATTGTAGCTCCTGGTTTGAGTGGATCAGCATTATACAACCATAAAATCTATTATAGTATGGTTATGTGTATGGAACAACTTATTTAATCTTCCATAAACTGACAGCTATTAATTGGCACACAAGTGCCACTAGTGCAAATTAGTGATGATATTTTTGCATTAAAACCATAGTTAATTAAGTTTTTTTCTCGTAAAATCTTGACAATCAAAGAACTTTTTTAAATGATTATTGATAAATATGCAACATTTGTTATTGTATTTCTGTTTTTGTTATTTTGTATCTTTGTTGCTGTTATTTGATCACCAGCATTGTTGTATCTTTATGATCAATGTAATCATTTAACTGTTGAAAAATATAACTTTTTACTAATATTGATTTGTCCTGAGTCTGAAGATGTATGTTTTTTTTTCTTTAAGAAGTGCCTCTAAGTTGACATATTTTATGTATTTTGATTCGCATTCTTTTACTCAGGATTATTAATCCCTATCATGTTTTGTAAAGCATCAAAAAAAGTTGTTCTAAAAAACTTTGAAAAATTAATTTCTTTATTCTATGTTGAATATGTGTTGAAAAGTCTTTTTTTGTTTGTTTAGCAATGAAGTATTTTTGAAAGCTTATGATGGTGATAATAATGATTTATTCAGATGCCACATTCATACAAGGTTTGAAGAAATTATATATATATATGTATATATATATATATATATATATATATATATATATATATATATATATATATATATATATATATATATATATATATATATTAGCTTTTAAATAATTTTAAATATGTATATATATATATATATATATATATATATATATATATATATATATATATATATATATATATATATATATATATACATACATACACACAGAGCTTGTGACAAAAAAGATCGCCAAGCATGTTATATCGCTTTCCTAAAATTATAGTATTTTGTCATCGAGCGTGATTATGCTCAAGTTAATATTAGCAAGAGAGGTCGTGAAGTTTGAAAATTGCTGAAGACTGTGCTCATAAAAAGCTTTTTATTTGTTATACATCGTTCTTTCATCAAGTAGTATCTACAATAATGCACTCATGATACTACTTCAACCAAATAGATTTTTATACTTCACAACTTCTTGTATATTGTTTGCACCAGATTGCGATTTTTTTTAACAATTTATGGTAAAAAGACAAAAAAAACAGGACCAAACAAACGCAAGTTCAAGTTCTTATTGATTTATTAAACATAGCAAAAGACAGCAACAATTATTTATAAAAGTATACACTTTTTATGATCTATATATTTTATAAAAATCGGTTAAAGGAAAAAATGTTCGCCCTTTTTTAACTACTTTTACCTACTTTTAACTTTTAACGTTTTCAACTTTTTCAATGTTACAGATGAATGAATAATAAAAACAATTTAACGATTTTTAATTAATGCTATGTAAGTGTTGTTAGTTTGAAACATTAGTCAACTACGTCATCGAAAAAAAAATTCTGTAGAAAAAAGAACGAAATAACGTTGTTTAAAAACAGTTTCTTTTATTAAAATTAAGTTTTTTTAGGTTTAATTTTCTTTATCTTTCATTGGCAATTTTCTTTTAGGTTATTATTTTTTTAACTTTCTCATAGTTTAGTTTTTTTAGTTAATATTCTTACAGTAATTTTTCAATTTTCTATTCTTATTTCATTTGGGCATTTTTATATTTGCATTGTGTTTCCATGTGCACTTGGTTAAAATAGTTCCATTATTAAAATTAGTGACTATTAACAACTTTAATATGTTCATTCATTATGTTAGTGCAAAACAGAAACTTCCAGAAAGCAAGTGGCGTAGTGCTTTTTATATTATAGATCAGCGCTTAGATAATATATCTTTAACTAAAAATTTATTTTAAAAATATTAAAAAAAAATAATAAAAAAAAAAATATATCATTTGTTCTGTCCCAAACTTTTGAACAAGAGTGATTTTATACTCTTGTTATAAGCTGAACAGGCGTTGTTTATTGCGCCTGTTCAGCTCATAGGTTTGAAAATACTGTTTACAGGCAGGTTTCACAAGCGCAGCGCGATTGTGTCTGCTTCATTACAAGCCCTGTTTATATACATATAGTAGCAAAATTGTCTTTTGCTATTGTTATATATATATATATATATATATATATATATATATATATATATATATATATATATATATATATACACATTTATATATACTAGGGTGGTCCAGAATTATTTAGTAAAAATTAAAAGTGTTCCTAACCACTCTCCACAAAGCTAACTTTGTTCTATTATATATAAGGAATAACCATGCAAAAAATTGGACCAATTTGAGCAATTTAAGGGGTCAATAGGATTTCAACATTTTGGGCAAGCACCTAATTTTATGGCATGTTTGTAGCAGAAATCACATTGTTGAGTGTTTATATATAGTTTTTAGTTTTGTTTTTCTGAACCTTCTGGGACACCATACAAAGTAATTGTTTAGTTCTTTGTGCTATTTGTAAACAGCAGACATCTTGCCATCAGCAAATAATTTTAAAAAATTGAAATTTTTTCAAATGTATAGTATTTTTTAATTTTTATTCTGACTATAGAAGAAAAGCTTAAAAGGTTAGTAATTGCATCAGCTGCTTTATGCACATATTACATAATTACAATTAAATAGTTACCATGAATAGTTAATTAATAACCTATTAATCCTTAAATGGATTGATGTGATATTATCAATTCATCAGACACGTATTGAGGTCTTAAAACAATTGCTGTTGTTTTTAAAATAAAATGAACATTTAACATTCGAACATAACATTCATGAACAGCAATTTTATGACAATGTATACTATTTACTATTTTTCTATATCCACAGGCAGGTACTTAAAATCATAATGGCAGCTGCAACAAGAAGTTCTGCTGAAGTTTGGGTTGTTGGCAAGGCCACCAACCAATGCTCTTCAGCAAGATTGGCTACGAACGGTGATGCCATCTGTTGCCTCCTCTTTTACCATCTTATCAAGAGCACCTTACTGTGAAGGACAGTATTAATCGCATAAATAAAGATATCAATATGATTTGGAGCAAAGCAAAAATTCCGACTCAGAGAATTGTTTTTGGTGAAAGAAAACTGAAAAAGTTGTATGGTGAATATCAACTGTTAAAAGTGAATATGACGAAAGCATATAAAAGCTGCAGATTTAAAGAGCAAATGTTCAAAGACGACCTGATGGAACTTTTTGACTTGGCTACAAAGAATGCTTTAGATATTATGACGAACAATGAAGACAGACAATTCCTGACGATGCAGAGAGATGTCACCAGTTCAAGCATGGCTGGAGTGGATCGCAATCTTGCAGAAAAAAAGACAAAGAAGAGAGCTTGTATAGAAGCTAATGAAGATCGAGGCTGAAAGAGACAGAAAAGTTGCAGCAAATTAAAACATCTGTTCCTGCTTTGGATATCAGTTCTTTGTCCAAGTCTAAAGACGAGGATGACGTCAACAATGAAGACTTCAGAGTTCCATCATCATCATCTGACATGGATGGCTACCCAAAAAAAAGTAACTGAAGCAGAGAAGAGTTTTTTTTCAACCGAATTTCCTCTTCTTCTCCATTGGGATGGGAAACTCCTTCCAGACATAGCTGGTGCAAAAGAAACCGTCAATCGAATTGCTGTGATGTCACTGGTAATGGTATTAAGAAGTTGTTGGCAGTCCCAAAAATTTTAGGAGGAACTGGGGAAGAACAGGCTGCTGCATGCTTAAACGTACTAGATGACTGGAATGTACAAGAAAAAGTTCAAGGTCAGGTATCTGATACAACCTCCTCCAATACAGGAATCCATCGAGGGGGATGTGTTCTTATTGAGTAAGCTTTTGGCCATGAACTTGTAAATATTGGATGCCATTATCATGTCCTGGAAGTTTTTCTGAGCAGTGTCTTCACAGCTGCTTTTAGTGGGTTGGGTGGACCAGTATTTGGTTTCAGAAGAAATGTGCATACATCAGACAGAGTATTTGCCAGCTAGAGATGAAATCTTCAATGAGGATTGAACCCTGACAGAAACTCTTCGAACAAAGATGGTTGTCTACTACACCAAAGCCATAGGACATCAGCAGTCTTGGGAGGATTACCTCAAGCTCCTTCGGCTATGTCTTGTCTTCCTCCGTGAAAGCAGTTTTAAGATATACTTCCAGTTCTGAGCTCCGGGAGCAATACATCATACTCGATGGATGTTGAAGGCCATCTATTCTCTAAAAATGGTGCTTTTTGAAGGCCAGTTGGAATTGACTGCACGAGGCTCCACTGGCTTCATTTGTACCCCTGAATGATGATCGGGCTTTTCTAGAAATATCCAAACGTATCATTGATAATGCGGCTTACACTGCATTTACTTGACATCTGTGGTTCTTCTCAAAACACCTCATTGGCTTAGCCTTTTTTGACAACCACGTCTCTCTAAATGTTAAAAGAGCCATGATAGCCAACCTCCAGCTTCCAAAGACTCAGTCAGCTCTGAAGAGAATGAGCACAGGTGGCGCAGACTTCAATCATCTTGAAAAGTTTGTGATCTAAAGAACATTTTGTTTCTTCAAAGTACTTAATATCACTGGAAAGAAGGAGGCCAAGAGTTTTCTGTTGAAAGATTCAGAAACATGGGAGTCGTATGCTTGCTACCAAAATTTGAAGGATCGAGTCGACAAGATGAAGTTGTCAATGATACCACAGAGCGTGGCATTACTCTTTTCCAGAAATATAATGAAACTCTCACCAAAGACAAGAACCAAAAACTGTTTCTGCTTCGTTTTGTTCAGCAACATCGCCAGATTTACCCATTCTCCTCTAAGGCAGCCATGATCAGGGTAGATGACATTTGATGGGGCATTATTTATATGCCATTCTTTTGAAATCAATAATATTACAATTTTTCATTTAAAATTTTAAATACTAAAATATGAAAATATCAAATGAAATTTTCACTCTTTCGACCATACATGAAAAGTCAAAGTTTTTATTGACCCCTAAGTATTGTCCGATTTGCTTTAAATTTTTACAGAAATTCTCTAATATTATATGAAGTAAGATAAGCCTTGTGGAGAACAGAATTTCCAAACTAAATTTTTTTGGACCACCCTAATATATATATATATATATATATATATATATATATATATATATATATATATATATATATATATATATATATATATATATATATATATATATATATATATATATATATATATATAAAATAATAATAATAATAAATTATGCTATTATTGTCAAGAAAGATTTTTTAAAAATATTTTTGCCAAAGGAGGGAACACTGCCCTCATATCCTTATAAAAACACATTTAATATGAATTATTTTGATATAACATTATAAGCATTTTTTGTTGTCAAAATTTTCCTCAATGTCTATATTTGATGTTTCTGTATATTTTTAAAATTGGTTATTTGGACTTTTTAGTGAAGAAATTCAATATGCACTTTGTACTTATAAAATCGAAAAGTGTTACGTTGAGATCAATATAAAAACAAAAGATCAAATAAAGTGTGGTCACTTGCATTTTTCAGAAGGTTAATTATTCTACAATTTTTTTTTTCATTTTTAATTCATGAAACAAAGCTTTTTAGTATTTGTACATATTATTAAATATTTTTTTAGGAAAAAATCTTTTTAAGACCGAGAATTTTTCTGGATTGCACTATAGTAAATCTTTTTTACAATGTTCATCTAAGCAATTACTTGGTGGTAAGTCTACTCCACTGACAACTAAATCATCTGAAGAACAAGATGTTGAGGCTTCTTCACCTAATGCAAACTCTAGTTTATCAAGTAATGTTCGTAATGTTAACAAAATAAATATTGCATCTGACACTATGTTAGGTTTAACAGGGCTGGAAAACTATGCAAATAACTGCTATATGAATGTTGTCTTGCAACTTTTGGCAAACATATACGAAATACGGGAGTACTTTAAAAGTAAATTTGAATCTAATATTTTAGTTTTTGAATGTTTTAGCTGATAATAGTTTTGTAAATTGTTATTAATAATTCATAATTTTAATTTAAAATAATTAAAGTTATATTTTTTCAAAAACAAAAATTTGTTCACAAATTAGAAAATGACATATGTGATAAATTTTTTTTTTTTAAATAAATTTTAAATAAAATAGTTTTTGTTGCAGGGCATCCAACAATAAATTTAATGAGATTCATATTTCTATATCAACAAGCTTCAAACAATAAACTTAATGAAATCCATATTTCCATTTCAACATGCTTCAATAAACTTAATAAGATTCATAATACTATGTTAACATGCTTTAAATTATTAACTGAATGAAATTCTTTTTTTTTTCAACCATTTATTTAACCAAAAATTAAAAATTAAAAATTTTTTATAATTTACAAAATTAGGTTAGGTGTCACTTTAACATAGCTTTTAGTTAATTTGTTTTTTTAATATATGTTGTTTTTTTTTTTTTTTAAATAATCTTTAATATTTTCCTTGCTTTCATTTTATTGTTTGTTTTTTTAACTCTTCTGTTCTAAATAGTTATCTTTATTTTCATTTTCTCATCTCTTTTTCTTTTTTTTTATTGTTAAAAAACACTTAAATTTGAAATTTCATTGCAAAGATGTTTAATGGCAGAACATAGATGTTTGACAATTTTTAATTTTGAAAATCTTTTTCTTTCATGTCGTGTTTGAGTAAATCCATCTGTTTTAATTATAAATTTTTTATTAAAAATAAAAAATTGATTGCCACACACCCAATATAATGCCTCATATTTTAAGTTAAAAATAAATAAGCATTAAAAAATTTTCTATTGAAAAAGAAATTTAAAATTTCCTTGTCCAATGTGTAATTAATAAATACAATGTGTAATTAATAAATACAATGTGTAATTAATAAATAAAATGTGTAATTAATAAATACAATGTGTAATTAATAAACACAAACATCTTTAAACATTTTTTATTTAATTCTTTGAAAATGATGTTTTAAAAACTTAAAAATCTGTTTTCGGTAAAACGTAAAACTAAAAATAATTTCTCTTAGTTTTACTAGCTTTGCACTGTAAAAGTGTGGCGAAGCCATAAAAAAAATTCTCTAATTTGATAATGAAAATCACAGCTCAACATATTCATAATTCAGAATATAAACTTTATTTTAAAACTCAAGTCAGAATATAAACTTAATTTTAATTTTTTTGAGAAAATATCATATTTATTGTTTAAATATTGCCTCATCAAATTAAATTAAAATTTTTTTTTACATATTTTTTAAACTTCAATTTAATAATTTTAAAAACTAAAGTTTATATTTTATATCTCTTAAATAACTTAAATACTATGAGGCTAATATTTGAATAAAAATAAAATTTGTTCTATATTTCATTTTATATAAATATTTTTAATGAAGAGAGCAGCATTAATTGTGACAAAATAAGTTTGTTTCTAAAACCATTTAAAACCAAAGGATCAACCTGTATCAACTGCCTAAAATTATATTTATATAAACACCAGAATGGTATTAATTTTGTGGTTAATAAAAACATTTTGTGTGTGTAACATACTTTAGTTTAGTTGTTTTTTTGTTAGTTACATGCAACATACTTTGTTTAGTTGTTTTTTTGTTATTTACATGCAACATACTTTAGTTTAGTTGTTTTTTTGTTACATGCAACATACTTTTGTTTATTTGTTTTTTTGTTAGTTACATGCAACATACTTTTGTTTAGTTGTTTTTTTGTTAGTTACATGCAATATACTTTTGTTTAGTTGTTTTTTTGTTACATACAACATACTTTAGTTTAGTTGTTTTTTTGTTACATGCAACATACTTTTGTTTAGTTGTTTTTTTGTTAGTTACATGCAACATACTTTTGTTTAGTTGTTTTTTTGTTAGTTACATAAAACATACTTTTGTTTAGTTACGTTTAGGAAAAAGAATTATGGAAATAAAATTAGAATGCTTGAAAGTTTTTTTGTAATAAGATTTTATTAAATTTTAGAAAGATCTAAATGAAGAAAATGTATTTTCAACACATTACAACTTAAAGGCTTATAAGTTAATAACAACTCCACAACAATAATTTATAGTTGCTCGATCAGTGATTTCCTTGAAAATTATTTCATGAATGTTAAACTTTCATGAAACATTTACAAGATGATTTTTCCATGCCTCTAAGCTTTTCTTTAAATATATCATCTTTCATCATTTGTCTGATTTGAGGGCCAACAAGTGTTCTCTTTAATTTTTTCTTAAATTTTTTATTTAAATTTTATATTCAATTATAAAAAACTGTCAATGCTCCTATCCATAGCTTTATTTTTTTCATGACGATTTTCATGAGCCCAAATTTTATTTATAAAAGTGGTAAAAATATATTATCGGGCTGCACCAATAGAGGATTTTAAATATTTTTTTGTTCTGGAATAAAATATTGACTTTTGAGCAGTTATTTTGACCCTTGTTTTAATCCTTAAATTAGGACAATCACCTTCAAATCTCAACAAATTTTCCAGTTGTGTTTTTTTTGTTTTTTTTTTTGAAGATAAATTTCATAGTTTTGTAAGACTCTTCCATGTTGTAAGCTGCGTCTAATGATATAGAGGGAAGTTTATTACTAAAATAAAAAAGAACTGTCTTTAAACTCACCTTTGAACCATCAATAAACTTTTGATTACCAGGAAGTCATTAGGACATAGACATTATTACAAAATAACTGCTGATTATTTTATGGAAAAACCTTTTAGGTCTTTATCTCAATTACAAAAAGTGACTTTTATTTTTGGTTGGTATAAATTCCACCATTCTTTTAATTGAGAGCCCAAAGGTTCTGCTTGTTGTTTGGACAAGTATAAGTCATGTACCAAATCATTAAGATTTTATTGAGATAAATATGGCTCATTAGATTAGGAAGCTTCATAAAAATCAGGATCTAATATGTCATTTTAGATTTTCTCTGTAGTAAAAGCAATGGAAATGATTTTGAACTTGCACTTGTCCAAGTTGCTATTATTTTCTTCAATATTATCCACTCTGATAAAATGTTTCCAACTTCTACTCGTTTATATTCGAGTTGTTGCAAAGCATATCGTCGTCAATAAAGGCTTTTATGTTATTGTCTAGCATGTTTTTATGTAACTTTTTGTTGTTTTCAGCCGTGAAAAAGTCGCTCTTCGTCCATTCAGCTGTGTTAAGCAACTCGTCCGCCTCCGCAAAGATATCTGATACATTTGAATATTGTTTCAAAATGCACTTTTGCATGGATGTAACAATAAAAACTCTATATTTATACTTTTATCACTTCATGCAAATTTACAATCCCATATATCGAGCGCTTGTTCCAGTAAAAACCAGCGTCTGGATTTTCTTCGAATCTTTCTAAATTGCTCGAGCGAAGACTTCATACGTTGAAACAATTTTTTTTTTATGCTAACCTAATAAAAACCTAATTTCCTCAAGCGAAACCTAAATTCCTCGAGCGAAAACTTCATACGTTGAAACATTTTTTTTTTTGTGCTAACCTAATAAAAATATAAACAATATTATTATTGGTATATTCTTAAATTTCTAAGTAAACAATTTATTATTTGTTACATTAACGTTTTAATTTGAAAAGCAATAGTGTATTTTTATTAAATACTATATAGTTAAGTTATATATGTAATTAAATATTTGAATTTAGTAGTTCATTCAATATATAATTTACAGCGACAAATTATGTATTTTATCAATATACAAATAATAGTAATTTTTATATTTTATTTTGAAAAATTAAATTTTAATCAATAAACGTTTAGGAAATAATAAATTAGAAAAAATTTCTTATTCTGAAAAAACTCTAAGTATAAGAGCAACAAAATATAATTATAAAATTCGAATGAATTTGTTCTTTCAAGAAAATTTTAATAGACTTTTAATTAAATAGTTCAAAAAAAAGCACGACAAAATCTGTTTATAACGAAGTTTTTAACTTTTGTAAACATTTTACTTTGATTATTGAACGGTAGTTATCGCAAAGTTTATACTTCTAAAACGTTTAATAACAATAATATTAGTATATATTACAATAAACTCACATATTATCTAATTATATATACTTTTTTAGTTGTTTATTTCTAAAGCTTATAACTTTTGTTTGTGTTGAATTAATACTCTGAAAAAACCTTACTAATGCCTCTGAAAAAATTGTCATTGCTCTACACACATCAAGAATATAGATCGCCGTCGACATTAAGTGCTGATCAACCAATTTCTTTGCAAAGAACTTAGCCTTTGATTTCTGTGTTGCGCTGTAGTCGCTTTCCAAGCTGATAGTGGTATAACTATGAATATGCGCTTTTAGACCATTGAGAAGATTCTCCAACGCATTTACCATATTCGCAACCCATCTGGTACTTAACTCGTAACCTATCTGGTACATTGACTCGTATGACTCTGCATTTGGCCTAAAAATTAAAATACTAAATTAAATAAATAAAATATTGCCTAAATTAATTAATATAAATTTTGATTGTTAATACTACCTAAAAATAATAAGTAAAAATACATTAAGATATCATTATAACAAGACTTATTTTTTAAAATACCTTTTACACCATAAACTTTGCATGCGTTACAATAAACTGCTGATATAACAGTAGAATTTCGATGAAAAATGAAGAGTTGCTCACAAAATAGCTGCAGAATTTGGAGTTCCTTTGAAGTGCTGGCTGCATCTTTCAGTGCCAGCTGCAATCGGTGCGACAAACAATGTAAGTGAGAAAATGGTTGCACCTACTAGCTGTTGCTGAACACAATGTCTCCGTCCAGTTAAAACATTAGCACCATCCGTAATTAAACCTACCATTATCAGTAGTAATTAGTTTTTAAAGTACTAATTAAATTGACTTTCCAGAGGCGATCTAGAGTCATTAGACATTTCTTTAAATTTTTTTTTTTTTTTTCAGTATATGTTGAATTTCGACAAAATGGACAAATTTACTTCTATTACTTATCTTTTAAATTATTACATATCTCTAAAATTTAATTAAATTAAAAAAAAAGAATGTTTAAACGATAAAACCTTTTTGTTTTTATTTTACTTATATTTTCTAATTAAGAATAGAAAATGCGGTAAACAAACTTTAGCATTATGACTTTTAAAATAGAGTTTTATTATTATTTTAGTTACTTATTGCATTAGTTACTTTGCATATTTTAAATCTCTTAAATTACACACACAAAAAAATAGAACTGCCGATAAAAATCAATAGTTGTCCTTTCGGGCGACTTGATTGCATAAAAAAAACATTTTGAGTTGCCCTTCACAATATTCGGTCGCCTGGTGCCATCGGGCGACCACGAGTGTACATCCCTGAAAGTACTTGGATTTACCACTATTATGAGAAGGATCAGAAGTGATATGATACAACAGTTTAAAATAATACATTAGATTGATGTCATTAACTAGCATCACCTACCAAGTTGCTTCCCTCCTCTTTGTGTGATGGACCAGCTAGTAATACTCGAAGTCACGCTTTGCGAATAAATTGTCAACTTGTAAAGGGTTATGAACAGAGGCAAAATTTCTTCACAAATCGTAGTGTCAGACTCAAGAACTCTTTGCCCGGAAAAGTTTCAGGCTAGTTGAAAAGGTTCAAGTTTCTGCTCTAGGTTTAAAAAAAATTTAAAGATCAATATGATTGTTGTGTTATTATGAGTAAAAATATTACTGTCTGAGTTAGTGTTATTTATGTGACTACAAGAATATTGTGGTTTCTTTTTTTAGCTCGCTTATCAGAGCTTTTGTTCCATAAATGTAAAATTTCTTCCTCTTTTCTATTACGGTGACTGCTCAAATAAACTACCATGGTGACTGCTCATATAAACTACCATGGTGACTGCTCATATAAACTACCATGGTGACTGCTCAAATAAACTACCATGGTGACTCAAATTAATATATCGTTCCATCAACTAAATCTTAATCATCGTTCCATCAACTAAATCTTAATATCATTCTTTTTTGCTGTAATTTTTCTTTTTTGTTTAAAAAAGTTTTATCTAATTTTTTTTCTCAAACCTTGGTGTTTCGCAATTCTCTTCTGTTTTTATATTTACCTGGCTTATTTGTTTTTAACTATCTTATTTTCTTAAAATGTTTTTAAAATCTTCTGTCAACTGTTTTCTTGCCTTTTAACTTCTTTGCCTAAAGTATTAGTTTTTTTTAATCTTCTGTCAACTGTTTTCTTGCTTTTTAGCCATCTTCTTTGCTTAAAATATTAGTTTTAAAGTTGCATATTACATAAACAGTCCTATGTTATTTTATATTAATGAATTATTCTAATTTTTATTGTTCAAAAAATTATTCTATAGATGAAGTGTTTTTGAAAGACATTGCAGTCAATAACGCAATAAGTTCTGGAGGTAAAGTAGCAAAAGCATTTTCTGAAGTTGTGAAAGCATTATGGTTGCCATCAAGGAGTGCCTTTAAACCACTTGCATTAAAGGTTTTCTTTTTTTATATTTAGAAATTTGTATAGATAGAAAAATGTCAACTTTTTATATTGTTACTTAACTCCCTATGTTAAAATTCTAAATCAATTTTATGCTGCTAAAACTGCATTGGGGTTTAATTACATATTTTACTTTATATTTATTACAATCATAGTTTTAAATAAGATTACTCAACAGTTTACTAGTATTTAGGGTTGGAGTCAAATATATATTTGTAAAATTGGTAAAACTAGACTATTTTGGCATATTTTATTCGTATTGTATTTGGTTAAAAATTTCTTAAATAATTGTAATTGATTGAAATGTGTTTGCAGTTTCATAAGCTAGGTTAAGCAAGGTTTTTTGGAAATACTAAGAGATTTTTTTTTTTTCTAAGGGATATTTGTTAAAAGACTTGTTTTCATTCTGTTATTTAGAAGACCATTTTATCAGTATTGTATTGAAAAAATCTTTATATTTTTTGTTAACCTAAAGTACAAATATTTGTATTTGTATTTGAAAGTTGACATTAACTTTTTTTAATATATTTATGGTTCCCACCCTAAAATATATTTATGGTTATTATCTTTCAATGTAAAAACTAAAAAAAATTTCTTCAACCAGTCAATGTTGATTTAATTTACCAGCATCATTATTTGGATAAATTATGCATTTATTTGGATAAATGTTTTAATTTGTGCTATCAAATGTTCCTTTTAAAATGTCTACAAATGAATACAGCTGAAGGTTTGAACATTAAATTTGTAGTAATCTCGGAGATGCTTATAAAAGTCAACTCTTGCCTCTTTCCTGCCCCATTTAATTTTTTTTTTGAATATAAATTCATAATATTGAATATAAACTTATAATTTACTATATAATAAAATTTACTATATAATAAAACCATTATAATATAATTTACTATATAATAAAACCATTATTTTATACTACAACAATATAATATAATTTTATTATATAACAAAACTATTATATAATATAATTATATAAATTGAATAGTAAATGTTAATAATAAGAAGCTAATAATTAAAATAAAATCAAAATGTAAACTAAAATTATGAATTAAAGTTATTATTTTTTTCAATTTAATAAAATTTAATCAAATTCCTGTAAGACTTCTATTTTTTACCTTGATTTACTGTTACATAGTTTTAAAAACTTTTTTTTGCAATTTTTTCTAAATAGAAAACAAATACATTAAATACTCTTTTATAGAGTAAAAAAAACATTTGTTTGAAGTTTTTTGGTCATGAGATTGAAAAGAAAGTTCATGAGGCTGAAATGTCTTTTTTGAAAGCAAACCTTTAGGTATTCATAAACACTACTAGTGTTAGTGATACTAGATTTTAGTTTTTCAATCTTATTCAAAATAATGTTATTAATATTACAAACTATTATATTATTCCATAAAACCAGGAACAAAAAGAACTGCAAAAAGAATAATAAAAAGTTTGTAGGAAGACTAAAAATTTTTGTGAAACCAACCAAAACGATCCTCATAACTATATTTAATCAGTGTTTTTAATCAATTGCATCATTAATATGTTATACTTGAATAAAAAAATTTTGTTCAATTGTTTTGCAGACAATGAAACTTCATAAAACAAGAAGCAGAATCTAATTAGAAAGTTTGAAAAAATTATCTTGCCGAAAAGATTGATCTTTAATTGTATTAAAAGGAAGATCTACTGCAAATTCACTTTTATGAACATCTGAACTAAAGATTTTATAAGTAGAAAATTTCTGAAAAGCAATATAGGGTTAATCATAGTCAAAAATCGATAGTTTTCAGCTTTAAAGAATTCATGATACATTACTATTCATATAAATTTACTGTGTCTTTGATAGAGTACTTTTTAGATCTTCTCCTTTATTGTGCATCTTTTTGTTCTTTTAAAAGATGTGAAGGAATTCACTTAATTGAAAAACAAGATGCTTTTAATGTTACAACAAAAGTATCTTTTGATATTAGTGGAACTTTATTTAATTCTTGATGTGTTACTCTTACTCTTGATGTGTTACTAGGGTTGACTAGCGTTGACTAGGGTTGACTAGCGTTGACTAGGGTTGACTAGGGTTGTCTAGGGTTGACTAGGGTTGTCTAGGGTTGACTAGCATTGACTAGGGTTGTCTAGGGTTGACTAGCGTTGACTAGGGTTGACTAGCGTTGACTAGGGTTGACTAGGGTTATCTAGGGTTGACTAGGGTTGACTAGGGTTGACTAGCATTGACTAGAGTTGACTAGGGTTGACTAGGGTTGACTAGGGTTGTCTAGGGTTGACTAGCGTTGACTAGGGTTGACTAGCATTGACTAGCATTGACTAGGGTTGACTAGGGTTGACTAGGGTTGTCAAGGGTTGACTAGCGTTGACTAGGGTTGACTAGGGTTGACTAGAGTTGACAAGCGTTGACTAGGATTGACTAGCATTGACTAGGGTTGATTAGGGTTGACTAGGGTTTACTAGGGTTGTCTAGGGTTGACTAGGGTTGACTAGCGATGACTAGGGTTGACTAGCGTTGACTAGGGTTGACTAGGGTTGTCTAGGGTTGACTAGGGTTGACTAGGGTTGACTAGCATTGACTAGAGTTGACTAGGGTTGACTAGGGTTGTCTAGGGTTGACTAGGGTTGACTAGCGTTGACTAGGGTTGTCTAGGGTTGACTAGCGTTGACTAGGGTTGACTAGCGTTGACTAGGGTTGACTAGGGTTGTCTAGGGTTGACTAGGGTTGACTAGGGTTGACTAGCATTGACTAGAGTTGACTAGGGTTGACTAGGGTTGTCTAGGGTTGACTAGGGTTGACTAGCGTTGACTAGGGTTGACTAGCGTTGACTAGGGTTGACTAGGGTTGACTAGCGTTGACTAGGGTTGACTAGCGTTGACTAGGGTTGACTAGGGTTGACTAGAGTTGACAAGCGTTGACTAGGATTGACTAGCATTGACTAGGGTTGACTAGGGTTGACTAGAGTTGACAAGCGTTGACTAGGATTGACTAGCATTGACTAGGGTTGACTAGGGTTGACTAGCGATGACTAGGGTTGACTAGCATTGACTAGGGTTGACTAGGGTTGTCTAGGGTTGACTAGGTTTGACTAGGGTTGACTAGCGTTGACTAGGGTTGACTAGGGTTGTCTAGGGTTGACTAGGGTTGACTAGAGTTGACTAGGGTTGACTAGGGTTTACTAGCATTGACTAGGGTTGACTAGGGTTTACTAGGGTTGACTAAGGTTGACTAGCGTTGACTAGGGTTGACTAGGGTTGTCTAGGGTTGACTAGCGTTGACTAGGGTTGACTAGCGTTGACTAGCGTTGACTAGGGTTGACTAGGGTTGACTAGGGTTGACTAGAGTTGACTAGGGTTGACTAGGGTTTACTAGCATTGACTAGGGTTGACTAGGGTTTACTAGGGTTGTCTAGGGTTGACTAAGGTTGACTAGCGTTGCCTAGGGTTGCCTAGGGTTGACTAGCGTTGACTAGCGTTGACTAGGGTTGACTAGGGTTGACTAGGGTTGTCTAGGGTTGACTAGGGTTGACTAGGGTTTACTAGCATTGACTAGGGTTGACTAGGGTTTTCTAGGGTTGACTAGGGTTGACTATGGTTGACTAGAGTTGACTAGCGTTGACTAGGGTTGACTAGGATTGTTTAGGGTTGACTAGGGTTGACTAGGGTTGATTAGGGTTGACTAGCGTTGACTAGGGTTGACTAGCGTTGACTAGGGTTGACTAGGGTTGACTAGCGTTGACTAGCGTTGACTAGGGTTGACTAGGGTTGTTTAGGGTTGACTAGCGTTGACTAGGGTTGACTAGGGTTGTCTAGGGTTGACTAGGGTTGACTAGGGTTGACTAGAGTTGACTAGGGTTGACTAGGGTTTACTAGCATTGACTAGGGTTGACTAGGGTTTTCTAGGGTTGACTAGGGTTGACTATGGTTGACTAGAGTTGACTAGCGTTGACTAGGGTTGACTAGGGTTGACTAGCGTTGACTAGGGTTGACTAGGATTGTTTAGGGTTGACTAGGGTTGACTAGGGTTGATTAGGGTTGACTAGGGTTGACTAGCGTTGACTAGGGTTGACTAGGGTTGTCTAGGGTTGACTAGGGTTGTCTAGGGTTTAATAGGGTTGACTATGGTTGACTAGGGTTGTCTTGGGTTGACTAGGGTTGACTAGGGTTGTCCATTTTAAACTTTTTTTTGAAATTTAAACCGGGTTTTTTACCAGTGATGACATTTGATCTAAAAACACTAAATACCAAAGTTTTCAAATTTAGAACAATTTTTAAATCCCCACAAATCATTTAAATTTCAAGTAATGGATTGCACAAGTGTTGCGCAAAATTTTTACCCACTAACTGTTATTGTTTCTTAGTGGATTCACACAATTTATTTGTTAATCACTAAGGAGTACTACAAAAATTTATTAATATACCACTAATTGTACTTACCCCTCACGAGATTTGTTTCAAAACACCACAGATGTTGCGTAACATAATTCAGTTATTGCAATACTTTTCAAACATTATAATCTCGATACTTTCGTTCCATTATAAATTTAATATTGTGAAATTGTATTTAAGAAACTCATTAAGTCTTAAGTCAGTAAATCTCTTGAGGCAATAATAGTTCTTAAAAACATACCTTAATGTTAATAAATTTAGTTTAAAATGTTTATAATGAACCTTTTTATATCATTTTAATATTGCAAAGTATATATCAAAACATATAGTTACTTACAGTGTTTATATTACAAGCTCCAGTCTTGTATTAAACCATGGCAATGGCTCCCATACCAAAGAAGGTTGGTAGACCTCGTAAAAGTTTGGGAAATAATGTATCTATTGAAGCAGAAGAGACAGTACTCAGATCAGGAAAAAAATGTTTATTAGATTCAATACATATTCCAGCTACTGCTATAAACAAAAAATATTGCTGCTAAAAAAAGCAGATGTTCTTGTTTAAACCATTGGATTGTTGGTTTTTCCTTAGAAAACTTTAAAGTAGGAAAGATTCCAATGAATAGAGCTATATTGCAAAAGTATCTTTTTGAGAGAGAAAATGATCCCAGAAAAGAAACAAGACTCATTGCAAATCATCTAGTTAGCAATATTGAAAACTTTTGGCTACCTGCTTGCATTCCAACGAAGTCTAATAGGAAGGGTTGTGCTGATCAGATTGTCCGTTTGGTAAAAGAATTTGAGACACTGAAAAAACTCTTGACAGCAAAGAAAAGTAAAGCAAAAAACTGCATCATTTATATTGAAATTGGACAGTCTGTTTGATGTATCACATACAGACACCTACACATTGCTGAAACACTCTGACAACGATGAGTGGCAAAAAAAATAGAAACAAAAACTATTTATGTTTAATTATATTTATTTAACTATTTAGGCCCACTTAAGGAAACAAAAGTTTCCTTAAGCCTAATGGTCATCATGTAAGGTGGATGTCGAAAGCCATTTATTATAAAAAAATATTCCTATTATCTCGTACTTTTGAACTTAATGATGAAGAAGCAAAAAAGGTTAGAGGATGGTCGAGTACATTTGTCTTTTTTACGGAAAGTACTTTCTTCAATCTGCTATTACTTCTACTGCTCTATATAATAACCTGCATTTCTTTTATTTAATGAGAAAATTTAAATCAATTGACTTTGAAAGTACAGAAGAAACCATGACACCTAGGATACTTATCTGAGGAGCTAGTAGTCTTTTCCTTGTTTGATGACTCTGTGAGTTATGCAGATAAGATTATGATGGGTCAGAAACTTATAAACTTACCAAGGCCTAAAGTGTTCACTCCTTATAAACCGAAGCCTACGATAGTTATTTGGCGTGATGAAGAGAAACCTTTTTTATCGTCTTTCATTGGCAAAAAGTCATTGTTGATTTTCATCTGTTAAAATTGGACAGACCCCAAGAATGGCTAAATTTGTTTCATCAGAGCATTAAAACAAATTCGAGGACTTTAGCGCTGCCAAAAAAATTTGTATGTAATCTTTCTTGTGTCAACAATATTGCAGAGCGAGGTGTCAAGCTTATAGGAGACATCAAAGACAAATGTTTTGATCCAGTGGAGAGAGAACAACTTGCTCAAGTTGTGGAAAAGCATCCAAACAGCTTTAAAGGAGCATATTACTCAAAGATTAAAAAAAAAAATTTCAACAAACAAAAAAATAACATTTTAGTAACGTTATTAATTTTATCCTTATTGATATTTGAATAAACCTTTTGTGGGATATGTACAAATAGTCGTAAATAAATAAAACTTTGTATAATTATTTTTTAATGATTAATAATTAAATTGTGTAAACCCCACTAAGTAACAATAACAATTAGTGGATAAAATGTTGCGCAACACTTGTGCAATCTGTTATTATAACTTCTAACATTTTGTGGGGGATCTAAAAATCGTCCTAAATTCGAAATTTTTGGTATTTAGCATTTTTAAATCAAGTGTGATCACTGGTAAAAACCCTGATTAAAATTTCAAAAAAAAAGTTAAAAATGGATATATAACACCATAATGTGTTACTTTAGTGATAATATAAAAGAAATAAAAGTATTTAATGTCAAGTGATAAAAGCATTCAAAGGACATTGCATTTTTTTTGGTGTAAATTAACATGATACATACTTAGATTCATGCATACATACATATTCATACATACATACATACATACATACATACATACATACATACATACATACATACATACATACATACATACATACATACATACATACATTCATGCAAACATGCATACATACATACATACATACATACATACATACATACATACATACATACATACATACATTCATACATACATACATTCATACATACATACATACATACATACATACATACATACATACATACATACATACATACATACATACATACATACATACATACATACATACATACATACATACATTCATACATACATACATACATACATGCATACATACTGGCTTGGACAGGAAATTTTTTTTATGTAGATGTATTTTTTTTATGTAGATGTATTTTTTATGTTAAATTTAAATGTTTGAAACTATTTTTCGAAAGATTTTTTTTACTTTAAGTTATGAATACATTCACAAGTTGTATCACTAGTTGCTTAAAACGAGTGTATTGAAAACATTTTTTATAAATTATACAAGAATATAAAATAACTTTATTTACTTATTTTAAATTCTTGTATAATTTATATAAAATGTATATAACATATATAAATAAATTTATATAAATGTATATAATATTATATAAGCATGTCTTTGTTAATTAATGTAAAAGTTTTATATTTAAAAATATTTAAAAAAGGTTTTTTACATCTTTTAAATATTTAAAAAAGAAAAAAAAATTTATGCATTTTTTTGGAAAAAATAAATGTTTATACAATTGAAAAATATTATATATAAAACTTTTTAATAATTTAAATAAAATTTGTTCATTTATTAAACAACCATAAAAAGTAATTAGTTACTTAATGCAAAAGCGTTTTGCATAACTTTAATAAAGCGTTTCGAAAGATAAGTTTTAAAGTAATTTATTTCCAAGTAATTTTTGCTTCGAGTTTGAGTTTATTTTTAGTGCTTATATATTCTATTTTTTGTAAGGAATTGTTTTTTTTTGTTTTTTTTTTGTTTTTTTTTAACTTCACTCCTAGTTTAAGTTTAGCTTAGCATTTCTTTTACATACATTTTTTTAAGCACATTTCTGTGCTGTTTAAATCACCAAAACATCTAAACAGTCATGGTCAAGTTGTCAAAAAAAAATCATTTGATCGCTCACCATTCTTATCCAAGCCTGTGCATACATACATACATATACATACATACATACATACATACATACATTCATACATACATACATACATACATACATACATACATACATACATACATACATACATACATACATACAAATGTTATTGTTTACTGGATACTTATTTAGAGCATAATGGGGAAGCAATGTGCATCATTTCTGGGATGGCAACAACATGATGCTCAAGAATTCTTTTCATCTCTACTTGACAATCTACATGAGGTATTTAATTTTATGTAAAAATTTCTCTTAAAAATGAATTTCTAAAAGCATTTAATTGAATAAAAAATTTTGTATTCAAGCTCAATTGTAAATGCTTTGAAGTTTGTAATTTTTTATAAGAAATTTATAATATTTTAGTTTTTAATATTTTATAAGAAGTTATTATAATACTTTAGGTATTATAATAATTTTAGTATTATAATACTTTAGGACCTGAATCAGCAATGTAATTTTAAAGAAGACTGTAGCTCAAGTATTAATGAAAAACCAGACACTGCATGGAATGCACATATTAAAAGAAATAATTCCTTGATTGTGAAATTGTTTCATGGTCAGTTAATGTCAAAAGTGACATGTACAGCTTGCCACAAGGTTTTATTTTACTATTTATTTCATTTTTTTTTAATTAGTTTATCTTTGATAATTAAAAATAATTTTTGTCACCTGAAAAAAACTCAATTTACTTTTAATTACTATGATTTTTTTAAATTAATATATTTTTTAAGGTATCTCATTCCTATGATCCATGTGCACAGATATCTTTACCAATCCCATCTGTAAAGCATTGTTTTCGAGTTCTCTTCTTTCCTTCTAAAATGGATGCTATTCCACTTATGATTCCTCTACAAGTATCAACACCAAATGCAACTGTTTGGCATCTTTTAAATATGCTTCAATCTTATGTTAAAATTTTACCTTGTTTTATTCGATTGTTTTCTGGACTATCTGAAATTTTTACTGATCAAAATATACCACTTGTATCGCTATTTAAGTATAAGTATATTATAGCTTGTGAAGTGGTTGAAGATATTTCTTTACCTGTTTTTCAGTATGTTTTAAATGCTAACAGCTTTGTTTGTTGTGACTTTTGTTACAAAAGAGAAAAATATTTGTTAACAAAACTTAAGCGTTGCACCAAATGTTTTGCTGTTTCTTACTGTAGTAGAGATTGTCAAATTAAACATTGGCAATCTCACAGATTTTTGTGTTCTAAAGACTTAAAAATGCAAGTTGGAATTCCATTTTATATCAACATAAAAAGGAATGAGTTGACATACGAATATTTGGAATCTTCTTTGAAAATGCGAGCTAATATTTCTGTGGATTTTACTTATTTACTTGATAAAAATTTGGAAAATAATACAAAATCTAACATTTTAATTAAAGTTTCAAATAAGATGAATGTTAATGATGATACTGCCATAATTATTTCGAAAGACAATTTTAGCGAGGTTATTCTAAAAGGTGTTTGTTTAATTGTTGAATGGCAAAATAGCCCAGAAGAAAAAGTTCTCACTAAAGAGGACCCAGTTTGTGAGTTTTATAAAACTTTGTTTAAAGAAACGCCTCTTAATGAGGAGCACATTACATTGTCAGACAGTCTTCGGTTATTTATGGAGCCTGAAAAGCTCGATGGAAATGAGTCATGGTTAGTTAAAGATCAGTTAGTGATTTATTTATATGATTTTTAGATTTCAAAAATTGATATCAATTCTAATCTATTTAGGAAATGTCCCAAATGTAAATCTTTTCAAATAGCAAAAAAAGAAATGGCAATTAGCATGCCTTCTTGTTTGTTATTACTACATCTCAAAAGATTCTCCTTTGGCGAGTATGGTGAAAAAATTACAAAAACAGTTTCATACCCTTTAAGGTATTTTGTGGCATAAATATCATAAACTCACTACACTTTTTGCATTTTTTAAGACAATTTTATTTTGTATGACAAAATATTTTTATTTTTATTTGTTGCAGTAATTTTGATTTGTCACCATATGTATGCAAGGAATCATTAGATAGAATTAATTATCCTTTAATCTATGATCTTTGTGGAGTTATATCACACCATGGTACTATGAGAATGGGTCATTATACTTGTATGGCCAAAATGTTTAATCATAATGACCAAGAAGAAGGAGGTTTTTTATTTGTTCTTTTATTTAATTACTTTTAATTAGCCTGTAATTTATCTTGATTCGTTATAAAAAAAAAATTAAAAATTTTCTCCATTCCTTAAAGCTTTTAATTAAAAAATATATATATATATATATATATATATATATATATATATATATATATATATATATATATATATATATATATATATATATATATATATATATATGAAAAATATATATATATGAAAAAAAGTTGTTTTTATATAAAACAACATTTTTTTTTTGTTATTGTTTTTTTCTATAAATTTTGCATCCTTTTTTATTTTTTCCTCATTTATTATAACCAATTGTTTTTCTACAATTTCAAAATTATAGCAATCGGTTTTTGAATGCACCTTCCAAAACCTCATAACATATCTCCCAAAAAATATACATTAAATACATTGATTTGAGATAATAATTTAACAATTCATTTAACTAATATTTAGTTGGATATTACTAGTAATTTAGCATATAATAACATAAATTTTAGACCACTCAGGTAAAACCACAGATTTCACATTTTTCTCATTTTCAGAAAAAAGATTTTCTTAAAAATTTAAATCATAAGTTTTTTAAACTTTATCAAAATTGTATTCATATCTTTTCCCCAACTTCCCCAACAAAATTACTATTGTATTCATATCTCTTCCCCAACTTCATCAGTTGACCATACTGTTTGTAATCCTTCACTTTGTATTCATATCTCTTCCCCAACTTCATCAGTTTACCATACTGTTTTATCAAAGTTACTATTAATAAAAATACACAAACTATTAATAAAAATAAATGCTTTTTATTTTTAAAGAAATATCAAATACATTTTTCAGTACTAATATATCACAAAAATATATAAAACTTGAAATTTTCAAAACTTGGGCATCTGCGGTTTTACCCATGTGGTCTTCAATTGTTTTCAAGTAGTTTATATTTGAATTCAGGTGTCACCCATACCAAACACCCATAAAATAAATTTTGTAAGTATTATCCACTGTAGTCATTGTATAAAATAAATAATTTTATTGGTATTTTAGATTTTATTACTTTTTTTAAATATAACTTTAGGATGGAGGCTGTTTGATGATGAGACCGCCACCAGAATCAAACCAGAAAAAGTTGTTTCATCAAATGCATATGTTTTAGTATACAGATTACGTGGTACTTCTGAAATACTAAAAGTTGATAGATGTCCATTATACAGCTCTGCAACTAATGTCTTCATTTCTGACAGTCCACTTACAAAAAAAAAATCAGAATTAGTTGTTCACAAAGAAACTGATTCTTTTGCAAATATATATAAAAATAGTTTTGAATTGACAGAAGATAAAAAAATAGCTAGAAAAAATCTCACATTGACTGATAGATTTTCTGAATTTAAAAAATTTACAAAGTGCTCTGATGAGTCATTGAATTGTATTTCTAGCTTCGGAAAAATTGAACTTAAAGAACTCGAACAAGATACAAAAAATATTACAAGTTCAGACTGTAATTATAGAATGGATGAAAATATTAACTTAGATTTGCATGACACTGTAAAGCTCCAATCATCTGAATTAAATTATGACTCTAATTTAATAGATATTTCTCAATGTTGTGCAACAAATGACGATAGTGGGGATTCAATTCAGAATCTTATAGATATGAATGAAGATGAGCTAGATTAATTTTGTTGTTCAAATTTTGTAATGTTCAAAACATTTTTTTTAATATTCAAGTTTTTTTTTTTTTTTTTTTTTTTTGAATACATATTTTCCATTTGTAATATTTTGGTTATATTGTAAAAGGCTTTTTTTTTTTTTTTTTTTTTTTTTTTGATTGCTTATATTCTGTAAAATCATTTTAACAGATTACTGATCCATGATAAATATTACATTGATAAAAAAATTTTTTGTTTTGCTTTATAGCATAAAAATGTTACATGCAATTAAATGCTAAATGTTTATTTATATCAGAAAGTAAAAATAATAATGGATCCAATGAATAGAGTAAAACTTCCTCACGTTAGTCGCAGCCAACAACTTCTTGCAAAAGGTTTTGGCGGCTTGTTTTGGTTTTGGATGTTATGGAGACTGAAACATGACTGGAAAACATTATTTGTAAGTTTTTAACTTGTAAATTTGTAAAAATGTATGTATGAAAATATATATTATATATGTTGTATATTTTATATACACACTTTTATATAAACTATGTATGTGTAAGTGTGTTTATGTACATTTCTTATAAAGGGTGATATTTCAGCATAAAAATATCACTAATTAAAATATCTTATTTGATTATATTGATTTTTGGAAGATTTTTACTTCTTCATATTTTTCAATGAATATTTTTCACGAAGAACTTACGTTTTTACTACTTCATATTTTTCAATGAATATTTTTCACGAATAACTTATGTTTTTACTTCATACTTTTCAATGAAGCTGATGCATTTTGATTTTTAAGTTATTCGTTTCATGGGATTTTTAATATCATAATGTGCAACAACAGTTTTATGAGATTTTTGATATCATAATGTGCAACAACAGTTGCAGCATTTCTTCGATTCATTTCTGTTTTAACAGTAATTTGATGTTTTTATCTGCTGGACATCAAAAATGATAATCAGGCAGCTAAAGATCACATTTACACTGTTTTAGAAGCTTGTATTCACTTTCTTAAGAACCTAACTTCCATGGTAATTCATGAATCTTGTTTACTTCAAAACCTTGTTGACTTGCTTTTTAACATTTTATATTTTATATTGTTTCTCGATTTTTTATATCTATTAAGATTCTTTTAAGTTGGTCTCCATCATTTCCCTGATTTGTACCAAAGATGCAATGGGGATCAAATTTAGTACTTCTGATGATTGAATCAAAAGATGCAATGGGGATCAAATTTAGTACTTCTGGCTAAAAAAGCATTACACCACTATTGCATGAAATTTATTATTGTTGTTTTGATTTGTTCAAAATTTAAATTTGTGTTTAAAATTATTTTAAAATAGTTTCTTTCATTATTAAGCATTAAATTCATTTATTATAAATATTTATTTAATTTTAGAGCCATTATGAAGCTGACAAAGTATGGGTCATTCCTGATCAAGTTGAAGAATCTGAGCGTCATCATTAAATTTTTTTCTTTGAATAATAATTCATTACTAAAATTTTGTCTGACAAGTTTTTACATATTTTCTTAATTAAAATTATCAAAACATTTGCAATTGTTTGATAAAGTTTAATGAAAAAGAATTAATTTTATTGTAATTTATTCTATTTGTTTTGATTATGCCATATTGTTTTAATAGTGCTGCAAATTTAGTCATGTAATTGTGTCTAACTAAATTTTATTCTTTTTTTCTATTTGTTGAGTTCTTAAAAGTTTAAAATATAAAAAAATATATAAATTTTTCAAAGCATTTAATCAACAATTAGTGATCAATACTTAATAGCAGCAAGTAATAAGCTAGTAGCTGACAAAATAAGTTAAAGTGATTAATAAAGTAAATCGAAGTGACTGATAAAATAAATGAAAGATTTTTCCTGATTTTTGAGCTGGTTGAATTATTGTTGGTAAAATCATAATTATTTTTTTTTACTTTTTATTAAAAAAATTTTTTTTTTAATAAAACTGAAGAGTAATTTTTTTTTCCATTATTTGGTTCCAGATTCAGTTTTAAATCTTTATATCCTTATATATATTTTAATTGTAAAAATGTTTTTTCAATTTTGCAAATTGAAGGTATACAATCCAGATTACTTTTAAACTCTTTTTATTTAAAAAATCAGCATAAAGTATAACCTAGAAAAAATTTTTTAAAAAGTTCAAGATTAAAAAATTAAATTTAATTTTTTAGGTACTAACTGTACTAACCTAAAATAAAAAATATATAAACAATGAAGGATATTTTTTGATTTGGGGTCAGAAACAACAAACAAGGTGATTATGTTACAGCTTTTATTTATAAATATATTAGAATAAAATATATCCTTTTCATCATAGTTAAATGGAATTCAACTTGTAACCACAGCTGAAAAAATATTTTAAATTGATGTAATATAATAAAACATTTTTTCATCATAAAGCATGAGAAAAAATGAGAAAAGAAAATCTTTTTAAAAATATATAAAATAACTGTTTTTTATAAGTTTCTATAATTTTTATTTAAGTTAAGAAATTAAAAATTATAAAAATACTTTTATTTTTAAAATTTTTCTTTATTTCTAAAAAAATCTTCTTACATTACTGATAATGGTGCCCATCAACTTCTATATAACTATTATTGTCATTTTCTTGCTTATGGTTGACTATGCTTTCAGCAATTCTTGTACTGAATTAATAGTCTTGCCTGTTTTACGAAAATATCTTTTGCCAATACCCCAATAATTTTCAATGAGCCGGAATTGCGGGCAATTTGGTAAATTGAGCTTTTTTGGTGCAAAATTAACTTTTCTCAATTTATACCACTCCAAAGTTTTTTTGTCAGACCAAAACAAACTAGTCTAGTTCTAGCGTGCAATTGAAGGAGTGGCAAAAGTTGTTTTTGAAGGCACTCTTGAATATCAATTTCTGATGTCAAAGTTGATGACATCACAAAAGCTCTGCTTTTTTTCCCACAACTACTAATTGCTTGCTATAAGAGCCATTTTTGGTCTTATTTGTTCACAAGTTTGTATTTATACTTGTTGTTTACACTGCCACGAACAATTGAAGTATAATATTTGTCACCAGAAAGTTGGCTTAAGTCACGTTTTATGTAAGTCTCGTCGTCCATCAAAATCCAGTCATTCAATTTTGTCAAAACTTGGGTGTTAAATTTTTGTGCTCGTGTTTTGGCAGTGAAGTTTTGTTTGTCAAAATATTTTGTTTATTAAATTGCTCAGAAAGACTTATAGTTGTAGTATTTCTTCACTTTTCTTACCAAATATCATTTACCACTGATTTATTGTTTAAAATTTTCTCTATTTCTGATCCTTTAGCTCTTTTGATGGATTAAGTTTTTTTATATCGTTTTATTTCCCTTCCATCAGTAGATCAGTAGGTAAAGGAATTCTAGTAGCTTATTAGATTCGTTTCTAGTTCCTTGATGGATTTTCTTCATAAATGTGCAAGTATTTTTCTGATTTTTAAATTGTTTTGATGGCATTAATAAATTAATAATAAATTATAATTTGAATTTCTTTTTTTGTTTATCCTTTTTGACAATTACTATAATTACTTGATTAAAATATTATTGTTTTTCGTTTTTTTTTTTATCTGTTTTCCCTATTTTCAAAAATTCTGACTGGTCTAACTACTGTGCCATTTTTTTTTTTTTTTAATTTTATTTTACTTCACCTCCTCAAGGCCGAGAAGGCCACTAAAGACGAGGAGGCTACTTATTATGTGGCTATAACCCTCTCTCAACTCTATAACTCCGAAACACGAACCTTGACGAACAAGGCCGCTGCGCGGAGAAACGAGTTGAGCGCGGTACTACCAGGGGCGTGGTGGGGATCGAACTCGGAACCACTCGTTTATGAAGCGAGCGCTCTACCACTACACCACTACCGCATTAGTCTTCTTAATATCGTATACAAGGTTTTTGAGTATTTAATTAACAAACACCTAATCACTTGAATCTACATAGATAAGTTACTACACTTACTACACTTGAATCTACAATCATCGTGAATCTACATAGATAAGTTTTTTCTGGGAATTCCCGGATTTCCGGAAATTCACTTTATTTTTCCAGAAATTTCCAATGTTTTTTTTTTATTAATTTGTTTTAAAAAAATTATATATTTTTACATAAAATTAAAAAAAAAAAACTTTTGCATTTAAACAAATATGTTTTCTATCGTTTCTAAAATTTCACTAGATCAATTTTTGTAACAATTTTTTTCTTTTTTTTTGCTTTCTAATTTTTTCAAATTAACTTTTTCGAATATTAGAAATTCCTTTTTGTAAAAAGTTAAATAATCTAAATTCGGTTTATGAAAGTTTTTGTTTTCAGTTAATACAATCAATTTTTAATAAAATAATTTTCCGGGATTTTCATAAAAAAAATTTTCCGGGATTTTCATTAAGTCAAATACTCATCTATGAATCTAATAACTTACTTTCTGATCATTAATATGGATTTTGGTCTTCTCTTTCTACTGCTGATTTGTTAACAGTAACAACCGATAGATTTTATTGTGCATTAAATAGATGTGGAGAGCTTAAGGCTCCCACTATTGGCATTTCTAAAGGTTTTGCTAAAGTTTGGCATGCTGGTCTTCTCCTTAACCTTTTTTATTATGATGTATCAGGTAACAAGTCAAAGATTATTTAATCCTTTCTTACCAATCATAGTATAAAAGTTGTAACTTCAGGGGTTCCTCAGGGCATGGTCTATCCTTGGTCAAGTCTATCCTTGGCCATATGCTCTTTTTAATTTACATTAATGATCTCTCAGAAATTCTCACATCTAAGGTGGCATTGTTTGTTGGTGATACTACCATTTGAGCTTAAAAAGAATCTCACTTTTGCTACAGCGTAGGGCTCTCAGTGCCTGGTGAACTTCAGATCAGCTTTAATTCAATTCCTATATTTATGAGTGCTAGTGTACTCAATGATTTATTCATCTTCTCTGAATAATTCTTACTTTCAATCTTTCTTGGAAACCATAAATCAAATTGATTGCAAGATTAGCATCTGCTAAAGTTGCATCTCTTTATCATGCTTGCCACTTTTTTGCTCATGATGCTCTCTCTATAAATCTCAAATCTGTCCTTGTATGGAATAATGTTGACATATCTGGGGCATATCTTAATGATGCCCTTTCTCTTTAAGACAAGGTGCAAAAAAACATTGTAAACATAGTTGGATCTGCTCTGACAGCCAACCTTCAACCATTATCACATTATTGTAATATTGCTTTCCTTTCTTTTTTCTATAAATACTATAATAGTTACTGCTCTAAAGAGCTAGCGTCTCTTGTGCCATCTACTAAAGTTCATTCTCGTGTTACTTGTGATTCAATTAAGTCTCATCATTTTGCTATGACTGTTCCTAAGTGCTCTGAAAATTCTTACATGTCTAATTTTTTTCCCGGAACATCAGTTATTTGGAATTTGCTCTATAAAAAAAGCTATTATACAAAATGATGTTATTATCAGTATTAATTTGATATTATTAATAAACTATTATACAAAATGATGTTATCATAAATGTTTGATATTATTAATAAATTTTTTTAGATTATCTAATATTTTTAATAACTCTAAATAATTGATGTTGATATTTCAAATTTGGAGATTTCACAAATAAAGTTTGGGAAATTTCACACAGTAATAATAAGGCAATTAATGATCTGACTGGTAATTTACTTATACTTTTTTACTTTAGTGTATTTATACTTTTTTACTGTAGTATACTTATAGGGGAAGGTTGCATAAGTTAAGGATATTAACAGTGTATTGTTTTTTGCAGCCGAAATTTTATTTTTATTTTTATTTTTGCAGATTATCATAACTTAGTTTTTCTTCTTAAAGAATATAAATGAATAGTTCATTTAAAAAAAATCTTAATATCATAAATTTCATTATTTTTAACACACCCAATCGTCTCATCTTAGGAAACCAGTTTCCAAATATGAGCTTTTTTTAATGGAACTCAAAAAAACTCAAAATAACAAAATAATAATCACAAAAAAAAAATTAGGTAACATTGTATCTTTAAGGAATATACTCAAACAAAAAGTAATTATCTCAACCATAAAAAAAAAATCAATCTTTCCTAGCTCTAAAAAAGTTTGTGATACCATTTTTTAAAAAAACATTTGCTCTTGAAATACTAAAATAAAGCTCCGTGGAGAATAACCTTAAAAAAACGAGTTTTCCTTAATATAGAGCCGCATCTCATCTTAAGCATCTCATAACGTATCATCTTAAGCAACTTCACCAAGTACTATCATAATTTAAAAAGCATGACAACAGCTTATGTATTCTCATATAATCCATGGAATAAGCAGCATATAAGCATAAAATGTTGAGGATATAATAAAAATTTAATGATCTTGTTTTGTTCTGACATAATTACAAAATATTGAACAATAAAAAATTATAACGTGGATGCTAAATTTTTTCAACAATAAAAAAAATCAGTAGTCTACCCGTAAAAGAGGTTATGCCATCTTAGGAACTGCTCATTTTATGCAACATTCCTTTACTTTTTTACTTGAGTGTACTTATACTTTTTTACTTAAGTGTAAATTTTTTATTATTTTTAATAATTTCAAAATAAATTTTAAATTAGATATTTTAATTTAACATTTTCACTAGACTATACGATTTAACATAAGACCTTGATATACATCATTAAATTTGTTATAATGTGTACTTAATAATAGAACTCATGTGTACTTATAAAAAGAACTCAAGAACTACTTATATAAAGGAAAAGATGTGTGCTTATGAAATAAAATGTAAAGATAGATCTGCAAAAATTTTCAAGACCATGATATACATTATTAAATTTGTTAGGAATAAAAAATTTTAAGACCTTGATATACATCATTAAATTTATTATGAATAGAAAAAAAACTCAAAGAAGGTTCTGCAAAGATTTTTTTTAGCTTTGGTGTCTAATGTTCCTGAAACTCAAAAACATTAGTAAAGTACTTTTTGTAACTTATCTTGAACTTTGTTAATCTGTTTATCTCCAAACACTATGGCTTATAACCTGGTCACATATGTTAAAGTGCAAGAATTTAACCATTTATAGAAGAGAATTTTAGTTTTTTCATACAAGCAGTAATAAAATTTTCTAAATAAGATTCAATTAAATGTAGTTCTAATGATTTTTGCAATGCTCTTATTGTGCCATTGATACAATTAGATATCAGCAACTGGTTAGTTATAGACTAACTGTTCTTGCAAGAATAACACTTGATGGAGGGGTTTGTTAATCATATTTAAAAGCATATAATGAAAAGCAGAGATAAAGAAGTTGCTGAAGTTTTAAGTATATTTTCAAAGACATACAGAGCAATGATTTTAATAGCAATCAAAATTACCATAATTGCCTTGCCAATATTTTAAAATTAATTGCATTGCTAATTAATTTTAAAATATTGGCAAAAACAGTTTATAATGCTTCAAAAAAATGAAAAAAAATTCACGTTTGTTTTTTAATTAATGAGCAATTTAAATAATAATTAGGTACAAATATTGAAAATTTCACAGTTGCGTTTTAAATGATTGTCATTTGACTAAGTTTTTACTCTTTTAAAAAAATCGTGACTTTGTCATAACATATTTTTTTCTAAAACTACCGTAAACTATCAAAATAAGTTAGTAGTTTCTTATTATAACAAATGTTGAAATTTCCATGCCAAAAGCAAAATTAATCAATTATAATCAAAAAATGGTGTAAAAATGCACTTGTTTCATTTTAAGTTAAAAAGTTTCAAATACTTTTCAATAAAATCTAAAATAATTATTTTTATATAAAATGATTATCAATTTTAGAATTTTTATATAATTTTGCTATATTCGAAACCTAAAAAGACTTACTTTTGAAAACTTTTATTATTATTATTAGGGACCCATCAAATGTTCAAGGGTTTTGAGGCACCTCTAAAAAACTTTATTAAATCCAGTGTTCCTTTTTTATATAGAGCAGATTAAGGTGAAAGCTGCTGATGTTTTTCAAATATATTGTTTTTTGAACCACCCTTATATATATATATATATATATATATATATATCTTTATTTTTCAGTATAAATGGCTGAAATTAAAGTTTTAACTCTAAATGTATGGTAAGTGATAAATTTATCTTTATTTCAAAAATCTTTAGAATGTAATATCTACTTTTTAAAGGGTTTTTTAATTTAATTTAAAAATTAAAAAAAAAGGTTTTGTATTTAATATTACACAAGTCAATGAGCAAGTAATGGCCACCGTGTTATAAAGTTGTGTTAACTTAATTAATTGTATTAAAATAATATAGTATGAATTATATTATTAGTAAATTTATATATATATATATATATATATATATATATATATATATATATATATATATATATATATATATATATATATATATAGGTGTCCCTGAACATTAAATTGTTATTATTTTTTTTAGTACTTTTTTAATCATTTACAAATATAACTTTGATTTGTTTTGAAAAGTGAATTAAAGCTAGAGAAGCCAAAAACATATGTAAATATATATATATATATATATATATATATATATATATATATATATATATATATATATATATATATATATATATATATATTCGCTGCATCAAGTCTGACAAAGTTGTTTTGTTCAGAAGTGGTAAAAAGTGTATATATATAAATATATATATATATATACATATATATATATATATATATATATATATATATATATATATATATATATATATATATATATATATATATATATATATATATATATATATATATATAGATATATATATATATATAGATATATAGATATATATAGATATATATAGATATATATAGATATATAGATATACATATACAGGCCTTGTTTTAAATAAAAAAGTGCTTAATGCATTAGCTTAACGCGATTTTGACATCATAAAATTATCTTCTTTTTTTTTTTATAGGCGTCAAGTGTTTTAACTACAGCAATAAATAAATAACCGCTAACTAGTTCAATTTAACAATTAACTCAAATAACTATAAACATTTTAAATATAAATTTATAATGAAAAGTTTTTATTTTTAAAAATTTCTGGTGTAAACAAAAAATGTTAACATTGATAAACACAAACCCATGTTAATTATTTAAACAACAATTTTGTTTTGACTGGCAAAGAAAAATTTAGGTTTTTAAATATTTTTTAAATTTATCTTGCTAAGCGTTTCAACTTGCGTTATATAAAAATATAAAAAAGTTGTCTGCTTTGAGCATATTTTTGATACATAGTTTAGAACATTTTCACCAGGAGTTTAATTCATAAATTTTTTATGTTATTGTAAAAATGTTTTACATTTTAAACAAATCACAAAGAAACAGAGCTGATTTTTTTTACCTTATAATATAACTTGATTTATGAAAAAAACTTATTGAATTGTACGCAGAAGAAATTTAACAAATTGTCTTCATTCAAAAATTTCGAGTAACAGGTAATTTTTTTTTTCTGTGCCAACCCCCGACCCCCGCATAACTTAAAGGTAAAGGTATCTATATACTTTTAACTAATAAGAAAAGCAAAGAGTAATAATTAATGAAGTAATTTTTAGAAAAATACAAATAGATTGTTCATTCATTGGCACATTTTTTTAATATCTCGAAAAAATGTCTTGATGTTTTTGTTGTCATGATAACAAAAATATTAGGACATTTTTTGAGATATTAAAAAAAATGTCAATCCTTAATTACATTAATTTTTTTGCAAATGTTTTTTATTATAAATTCAGTAAAAAATCTATATTACAAAAAACATTTATATTCTGTATTAATAAATATGGAATATAGATTTTTTTAAAGTTTTTGAATGAAAACATTAAAAAGTTACTACTTTTTATTAAAAACATTGCAAAAAAATTGTAGTTAAGGATTGACGAACAATTTTTCATGCTGCTAAATAATTGCTATAAAAAGGTAAGATATATCGCAATGAAAAGTTACAACAATTATTTTTAACGTAAATTTTTTTTTGTAATAAATATCTTTACATATCGTTATTTAAAAGTTAATGTGATTTGTTTAAAAATTAATTACTTCTTTAATGTTACCCTTAATTTAAAAGTTAAAAAATGATAAAAAGTAGCTTAACCAAAACAGCTCTATGCGTATGTAAAAATTGCTTAAGGCGTACGTGAATTGCTCTAGACGTAACGCTTTAAAACAAGGCCTGCATATATATATATGCAACACTTTCAGCAAATTTATCCACTTAACTCAAACTTTTCATATGGGAAATTAAGAAATCACAAAAACTTGATTATAAATAACAGTAGCCTTCTATATTTTTTTTGTTGTACTTAGATCTAATTAGATTGTTATCTATTGTAAAATAATGCTATAATAAAAGTGTTACAAATAAATCATAATAAAATACTGTTTTAAATAAATCATTATAAAATAATGTTAATTGTTTGTTAAAGCAGTTATTTATAGTTTTAACAAATTTCTTAATAAAAGATTGTTAGCTTTTAGAAGCAATTTTATTACTAAATAAGGAAGTCATTGTGTTGTTAAAATACAGTTAATTCCTGTTAACTCGAACCTCCAGGAGACCAAGGAAAATGTTTTGACTAAATGAATGTTCAGCTTAATTGGAGTGAAAAAATTGTTCTTGCTTTCAAGGTACTATAGAAAACAGTTCTGGAAAAAAATTTGTTTTAACTGGTGCTCGACTTTCTGGGTATTAACTATATTTTAAATGTTAATTTGAAAATACAGTTTAATATACACCATTATACTAACTTTGTTAGTATAATGGTGTATATTAAACTTTAACATTAAATGAAAATAAATTGCCTCAAACAAATATCTCATATCAGCCAAAGTTTGACTTGAAAATTCACTTTAATCAAACATTCATTAAGTTAAACCATTTTCTATGGTCCCTTGGCTGTTAGAGTTATTGGGAATTAACTGTATGTTATAATTAATTTGCAAGAAAAAAAAAATCCAATAACAAAAAGAAAATTTTTATGTTATCTCATTAGTTTATTTTTTAGTTATTGACTTTTTGATAATCTCCACTATGCATGTATTTATGTCCACTATGCATGTATTTATGTCCACTATACATGTATTTATGTCTGTTTTTTTTCTTAAAAATTTATTTTACTTAAATTTAATTTTGTGATAGGGGTTTGCTTTATATATCTAAAGATGTTGAAGAGAGAATGGATGCTTTAGCAGAAGAACTCAAAAATGGAGAATATGACATAATTGCTTTGCAAGAAGTATTTTTTTTAACTTTCTTTTTTTAGAATAAATGACTTTTTTTTTTTTTAATTTTCAATTTTAATTTTTTATTCATTTATTTCATCATAAAGTATGAAATTTACAATAATAAATTACAAACCCACATAAATAAGGTTAGGTGTCACTCATATATTTAAAAACCAGTCAATGGAGTGACACCTAAAAAAACTAAATAAAT